CTCAATGGCAAATATTTTAGCTTCACCAGGTTTTTATTTCCCTCATTGAGTAATATTTTAGTTTCACCAGGTTTTTATTTACCTCAATGGCAAATATTTTAGCTTCACCAGGTTTTTATTTCCCTCATTGAGTAATATTTTAGTTTCACCAGGTTTTTATTTGCCTCATTGAGTAATATTTTAGTTTCACCAGGTTTTTATTTGCCTGATTGAGTAACATTTTAGCTTCACCAGGTTTTTATTTGCCTGATTGAGTAATATTTTAGCTTCACCAGGTTTTTATTTGCCTCATTAAGTAATATTTTAGCTTCACCAGGTTTTTATTTGCCTCATTAAGTAATATTTTAGTTTCACCAGGTTTTTATTTGCCTCATTAAGTAATATTTTAGTTTCACCAGGTTTTTATTTGCCTCAATGACACCATCATATTTTTATTATGTTGGGAATCTAATTTCACACGTTTTCATTTCTCTCCGTGACGTAATGTTACACAATCCTTGAAAAATTTTAGTTCCTTCTCACTGTTTCGGTAAAATCTAATTTCCTTGTCTTTCTAACTTATTATCTTTCAAACTGTGTTTTCCAATTGTTAGTTTATTACATTTTGTCATTATATAATGAATGTAAACGTTTCTTCGCTTCTGGGAATAATGAGATAACAAAACTATCCTGTGATTAACAAATTCATGTTTCGTACCTTGTGTCTTTACAGGAATGTTCGGGATCACGTTGTGTGTTTGGTAAGAACCCTTTTATATAAGTTTGATGTTATATGTAGATGTTCAGTTTACCATCATTATCTTGGCCATTTTGTACTTGATAAGAACTTTTTACAAAAGTTTGATGTTATATGTAGATGTTCAGTTTACCATCATTATCTTGGCCATTTTGTACTTGATAACAATTTTTTATATAAATTTGATGTTCTTTGTAGATGTTCAGTTTACCACCCATATTTTCACGACTGTTTTGTGAAGCGACAGTAATTCACAAATGCTGTTTCTATTCTTTGTTTTGGTTATTATTAGTTTAACTTACTTAATAATTAGAATCTCGTTTGTTTTACTTTAATAAATTAACAGATTCCTGTTTGGAGAATATTTTCACCAGAATAACATACAACAACAGTATATATGCTATACAAACCGTCGGTAATGACCACAATAGTATACAACAACAGTATATATGCTATACAAACCGTCGGTAATGACCACAATAGTATACAACAACAGTATATATGCTATACAAACCGTCGGTAATCAGCACAATAGTATGCAACAACAGTATATATGCTAAACAAACCGTCGATAATCAGCACAATAGTATACAACAACAGTATATATGCTATACAAACCGTCGGTAATCAGCACAATAGTATACAACAACAGTATATATGCTATACAAACCGTCGGTAATCAGCACAATAGTATACAACAACAGTATATATGCTATACAGACCGTCGGTAATCAGCACAATGGTATATATATATATGCTATACAAACCATCGGTAACAATCACAATAGTATGCAACAACAGCATCTGAAGATATAAAGTGAATTGGTGGCGTAAAATATTTAGAATAACATAGATTATGAATAATGTATTAAAAACAGAGAAGTGAAATTGAATTAGAGTTGAAAGGATAGAAGGAATCTCGTGTACGACAAAGACATATTCGCTCCCAGTTATAACCTTATCCATCTGATTTTAACTTCATTCTACCTCATTCGAGACTTATATTTGATATATATATAATGACTCCGCGTCATTATATGAAAGTTGACTCTATCTAAAGCATTTTTCGGAATGGTATTGAGTATCATATTTAATATATCATACATATTTGGATAGACCATTAAAAGCTTTAAAATAATTACAACTCAAATGTGCCTCCTGAAGTTAGTATAAATCATGATTTTACTTTCACTGTCATTTCCAAACGGCTTGACGTACAGTCATAATATTTGGCATACAGCTTCTCTGTGAATAAATATATGACTCTAGTATAATAGATCTAATATATATATATATATATCCAACTTTTTTTAATTTCATTTTGCAAAATATCTTGTTTTGAAAATCATAGTTTTTGGAATACAATGCTTTATTGACAAATGAACTGACATTTATATAAATTGTTTATACGATAATCATAGATCTGATAATGGTCTATCATTATAAACAGATAACTGTCGATAATCTTTATAAATTTAATAGAAATCATGGAAGTAATAATACCTATCATATTATGAACTGTTAACATCGTAAATGTTTGTGTTATTGTAATTATTTACTTTGTTTACAACGCACTAGATGGCACGGACGTGTTTTGTTAGAAAATACGACTGAACCAAACGGAAGATGTCTGTTTTAGGAAACTTCATATTTGTCGAACTGACACACAAAAAATAGGTTTTTTCTAAAATATTCTTTATGTTTCAACCTATTAAATATAGACGACCTTAATGTTTCATTACTACAAAATTTTTTTCAAGTAGGAAAATATATATATATTGTAACCACTGATAAAAAATGAAGTCATTATAAAACAACGAATATTACAGTTATGATAGAAATGATGTTTCGTAGTGCACCTAAAATAATAGTATTCATGAACACACAGCTAATTTGTTGTCTGTATATATGTCATTGTGTTTCAATGTTTTATACGCTTAAGCTATACTACAAAACTTGGTGAACTATCGGGTGAATCATACCGTTAAAGAGTAACACAACAAACTATGAGAGATCTTATGTTATCAACATATAAGTAAACCCATTATCAATTGTGTTTAATATGAATATCCACAACTTGAACACACCACTTTCTATTGTATAGCAAGTTTCTTCACTACTGGACAACAATATATATTGTATAGTAAGTTTATCCACTACTGGACACAACAATATCTATTGTATAGTAAGTTTCTTCACTATTGGACACAAGAATATATATCGTATAGCAAGTTTCTTCACTACTGGACAACAATATATATTGTATAATAAGTTTATCCACTACTGGAAACAACAATATCTATTGTATAGCAAGTTTCTTCACTACTGGACAACAATATCTATTGTATAGTAAGTTTATCCACTATTGGACAACAATATCTATTGTATAGCAAGTTTCTTTACTATTGGACACAAGAATATATATTGTATAGCAAGTTTCTTCACTACTGGACACAAGAATATATATCGTATAGCAAGTTTCTTCACTACTGGACACAACAATGTCTATTGTATAGCAAGTTTCTCCACTACTGGACAACAATATATATTGTATAGCAAGTTTCTTCACTACTGGACACAAGAATATATATCGTATAGCAAGTTTCTTCACTACTAGACACAACAATATCTATTGTATAGCAAGTTTCTTCACTACTAGACACAACAATATCTATTGTATAGCAAGTTTCTTCACTGTTGGACACAACGATTGCTACTGTAGAGGAAACCTGTGTTTGATAAACCACAATTATATAAACTAAAGGCATAAAGATACACAAGAATTACAACAAAAACCTTAATAGGTTTATTCTCTGTATCAGCACGTCCAATTCGTTCATATAAGATAGTTTGCTTTCCGTATTAGCACGTACAATTGGTTAATATAAAATTGTTTATACTCTGTGTATTAGCACATACAATTCGTTAATATAAAATGATTTATTCTTCGTATTAACACGTACAATTCATTCATATAAAATGGTTTACTCTCCGTATTAGCACGTACAATTTGGTTCTAAAAATGGTTTATTCTCTATATATTATCACCGTCTTCTTATTGAAGATGTTTACTTTTTTGCGTTTTTAAGAAAGTTATTATTATTAATTTCAACTGATAAACCTAGTAGTAAATATAAACGTTGGGTTATCTATGTCTACATTTGTTATACATTGTTAATGATAAGATATAATCAGTGTTTAGTCTTCTCCATAAAGAATGTTACATGTACATATAGATCACAGGTTTCTGGTTATATCAATCTGGCTAAGAAGGTAATTCAATAACTAACCAGTACCTGATATATCTATATCTACACATTTCAGGTAAAACTACAGGTAGCACAACATTGTCACCTGCCACCAAAACAACACAGTTGTCAACTTCTGGTCAGTAGTGAATGTTTTAATTTTACATTCGATGAGCATCACTAAAATAGACTGAAAAAGTTCCTATCCTTTAAACTTCGAGAAATTTGTTTAATATATATGTGTGTTTTGTTTAATATATATTTATGTACATATGTGTGTTTTGTTTAATATATATATGTACATATGTGTGTGTTTTGTTTAATATATATGTATGTACATATGTGTTTTGTTTAATATATATGTGTTTTGTTTAATATATATCTATGTACCTATGTGTGTTTTGTTTGATATATTCTATACAGCCCGTGACCCGTTGGGTCACTCACTATTCAGAGGTTATGAAGAATTCAAGCTAATTTCAATCTTTCACCGAAATGAAGGTTTATTTTGAGATACTTTAATTAAATATTTCAATCCATTCATGTTATTCATAATGCAAGAAACGATATTTGATTGTTGATCGGGAGTAAAAGTAAAGACCATTTCATTTTTCAAAAAGTGAAGTAAGAGTTTTCAGGTATTGTGATGAATTAGTTCATTATATTGTGGTATTTCCTTTTAAACCTTCTACAAATAAAAACAACAACACTTTATTTTTCTTCGAATTATCTACCATAACCAAGGCACATTATTGAGAAGATTATTCAAGATTGTTTTTGTCATTTTACGCCTTTTAATGAAGGTGGGAAAAATTGACAGGGAAATAGATTTGAACGAAGT